GCCTGGCCCTGTACACCTGGTCGCTGGTGGCGCCGCTCATCCTCACCAACAGGGACTTCAGTTAATGCGGTTGCTCACCAGGCGCCGCCTGCGGTCGCACCAAGAGTTCGCGAACGACCTCGCCCGATGGGAGCTTGGCCTCCTCAGTTGTACGAAATCGAAGCCCCTTGGGGAACCGATGATTCTGTACATAAACTATGAACTTCCTAGTGAGAGTTCGGTTGATGGGGGAACTGGAGATGACATTTACACATAGACTGGTAATCGCGTATGTGAGAGCTGTCTTGTCAAGCGCCGGCACCACAGCCATCTGCAGTTTGCCCGGTTGTATTGCCAAGCGCGAGCCATACCGCACGGCCCTTGAAGTACGACCGAAAAGCGGCAAATTTTAGATGTAGATGTAGAACCGCCTCACGACTGCATACAGCTGGTAGCGTAGACTGCTTATGACAGGTTTCGTCGTTGGCTTACGGTCGACCTAGCAGTGGTGCGGCGGGCTTTGTCGCTTTTGGTGTTGTGTTTAACAAATGTGCTCGTAGTCCACTCGTTTTGTCACGTTCGCGCAACAAGTGCGCTCACTTGCGGTAAATTGTTTATGATGGTGATGAGATGGTAGAAAATCTGCTTACGTATATTCGTTTTAAGCCGCAGCGCTTGCGCGATGCCACATTGAGCGTGTCCATGCTGGTCTCGTCAAGTGATTGGCTCAGGCGCGCCACATCAAGCGTGTTCATGCTGGTCTCCGTCAAATGATTGGCTGTCGGTTTTAACGCAGACGAAATGTGGACACGCCTTAGGGGCGGTTTATAGTGCTGTCAAACACGGCGGACATTTGTGCCGGTTGTGTGGTGACATGACACGGCCGGGGGCTTGACCGGCGCGTGGCGGCCCGCCATCCGATCGCGGCCCGATCAGAAGCGGTGCGAGACGCGTGGCAGCGGTCTCGCGCGACAGGGAACGGGCCATGGTGGGCCCGAGCCGAGCCGCCATCAAATACACGCGTCTGATCTCTGATTCGTATTGCGCGCAGCGCGCCGGGGCGACAGCGCGAACATCCGTTGAGATGCTGGCGGTAGCGTCGAGTGCCAGCGGCTAACGCAAGCTCGAGGGAAGCGATCCGGACGTCACGGAGTCCGATCAGAGCACGCCACACATGACCAGCGTGGCGTGGCCAGCGCGCCCCCCGGTGACAGTGAAGCGGACATATGACCCCGTATGGCAACGTACTTGTGTGCACAGCGTTATACAAGCCACCGAACCGCGAGACAACGGGAGACACGCTACACGAGAACACATGAAGGCGTTGCAACAGGTGGCGACCGTTCCTGTTAGTCCCATTATCACATTGATAAAGCATAATGATGAGTTGCAAGCGCTCTGCACGAGCGTGAGTGTACGACCGCGGCGCCGGCCGCTGGTTGGTTGCACTTCCCGGCGGGGCTCGAGCGCGTAATGCGGCTACCCGCCATCCGTCTGGGCCCCCGCGGAGCCGCCGCCCAGCAGCGGGCCGGGGCCGGCGCCGGCGCCGGCGAACGCCACGCGCCGCGGGCTGACGGACGGCGCCGATCAGTGCCGCCGCGGCGCGCGCCGAGCACGGCCACTGCCGGCCGCACTCCGCGACCGGGGTCGCTAGATGAACCGGAAGCACTTCTGCTTGTCCGGCGGCAGTCTCGTCTTGAAGAGCACCGAGTCGACGCGGAACTGCGTGTTCAGCAGCGGCATGTGGCCGTACACGCGCGAGAAGAAGTTGATACACTTGTGGCGCTCGGTGAAGTGCTCCTCGTCCTCGGAGAGCGTCATTGGACAGCGGGACAAGCGGAACGTCCAGCGGGAGGTCACCTGAAACAACGTACCCGAGCTCAGGGCACAGCCTCGCCACGGGGCGATGGGAGGTCACAGCCAGAGGTACCGAGCGCATGCGGCCCTGGTGGCACATTGGTGTGGTCAAACAGACGGCTCACGGCCGCTAGTCCGGAACGGATGACAGACAGGAAGGGATATCTTGCTCCCATTCTTAGTGGAAATGCAGTCGAAGTGAAAACTCGTCACAGGTCGTATGTGACAAACTGTCCACAACTGAACGCAAAGTAAAACGGCCTGGACATACCTAGTCATGGGACCAGGAATTCAGTAGTCGGGGAGTTTCTAGTGGATGAGATGACATCGCAACGTTAGAGTCTTACTGAGTGTACTCATCCTACTAGGTCCGTGGTGCACACTTCCATCCGCAGCTTGGAGTCCCTGTGGAGCTCCCTCCCAACACACATATCAAGCGCAGCCCGTCACGGTGCGAGCGCGCCTGGCCGGTGGCGCGTGATGAGCTGGGCCGCGTCGCACCTTGACGGGCGGCTGCCGGGTCAAGTGCGAGATGAGGAAGTTCATGGCGATATCCTCGCAGTTCATGTACTCGTCCACCTTGTCCCGGATCACTTGGGGCATCCACTCAGAGTACATGTGCGCGTAGTACTTGTGGAAAAACGCCGCACCTGCCGGGCAGCGCGCCGTGAGAACGATCTCCGGCCGGCGGCACTGAGAACGCCCGCCGCATGCAACACACGGCACACCACCGCCGGCTCGAGCCAGCTCGGGCGGAGGCAGAGACGCCCGGGGGCAGTCAGAGGCTGGTGAGCGAGGCAGCGAGCTCGACACGGGCGAGGCGGCGAGCCTGACACGGGCGAGGCGGCGAGCTTGACACGGGCGAGGCGGCGAGCCTGACACGGGCGAGGCAGCGAGCCTGACACGAGCGAGGCAGCGAGCTCGACACGAGCGAGGCAGCGAACTCGACACGAGCGAGGCAGCGACCTCGACACGAGCGAGGCAGCGAACTCGACACGAGCGAGGCAGTGAACTCGACGCGAGCGAGGCAGCGAACTCGACACGAGCGAGGCTGCGACCTCGACACGAGCGAGGCAGCGACCTCGACACGAGCGAGGCAGTGGGCTCGACAAGAGCGAGCCGGCGAGCCAACACCACCGAAGCAAGCCGCACCACTCAAACGACACAGGACGCCACCCACTCCTACCTGTCAGCACCATGGAGAGCTCGCACGAGTAGTTGGAGTTGTAGTGCCAGCCGCCGTGCTTGGTGTCCCAGGCGTTGTAGCGCCCCGGGAAGCCGACCAGTCGGTCCCGCTGCTCGCGCCACACCCTGCGGCCGTCGGCGCAGGTCAGTGCTTGCACAGGGTGCCACCACGTCAGTACACCGCCAGGCGGCACACAGTCCCGACACCTGGGCGGACCGGGCGTCCGACCCGGGCACACCGGCCCATTAATGACAGGCTTCTTGGACGTTACATTGCACCAATAACACCAAAACGTCCCAGTTTAAGATATTCTTGGTTCTATCGTCACACACTTCTCCAATGCATGGATAGCACTTATTCTAATTCCCGGGCGTTCACACTACAATGCAAGGGCCCCGACTCCAGCAATTCGTGAAACCGGATGAACGAATTTATAAGCCACATGCACGCCGAACTGTACAGGGTTTTTTATGAAAGACCCTAATAGCAAAGTGAGACCAGTCACCCAGCGTGAGGACGCCGTAACGTCCATGACAGCGGCCGCCGCGCACCCACCGGAATCCGAACACAATCTCGTCGTGACGCAGGTGTGCGTCGTCGTCGATTGATAAAATGGCATCCGTCTCGATGTTTTCGAATGGGAGGAACCGGTTGTTTAGGCTGTTCTTGCCAACCGTGACCACCTGTTGGAAACAATGTCGGTGGCACGACATCAGTAGTAAATGGGAATGCAAATGTAAACACACGTGCTCAGCCGTAAAACATGTAACTATCAGAAAAATGGTGATAACACACGGATACAAGGTAATAAATGGTGGATGGTCCCATTCGATTAAATGCCTTGTTCAAGACGTTCGAATCAGACGCCACAGAAAATATGACCACAGTGATGCATGAAATTATTGCGTATTTATTGCTTATTGCATGTTGCATACATGTTTGCATACATGACTGCGTGTACCACGCTCCATGCAGAGTACCCGAGCACACATTATTCATTCGCTACACGTGCTCAGACATGTCAAATTTCGCCGACATCCCACAATCACGGGAATGGCACGGGGCGTTGCCAGGTCCGGACCCGTCGCAGGCCGCCTCTTCCCCCTTCCGCGGCGGGGTAACCCACCTCCACGGGCACGCCGACGCTGGGCCACTGGAGCGTGTCGGACGGCGACTCGGGGGCGTTCCACACCACCACCACCTTGTTGAGGTAAGGCAGGCCGTACAGGTGGCCCAGAGCGCTCATCAGCACCTGCCGACAGACGGCGCCGGCGCGCAGTGAGCCGCGGGGCGGCCGCAGGGAGGCGGCCGGTCGCGGCCGGGCACCGGCGTCTGCCGCGGCGGCGACGCCCGGCGTCACAGGCGGCCAAGACACGCCAGTCGGCCCGTCCATAACTCAGTGTGCAGCGCGCGCACACCCCAGCGACGGTGCAGCATCAGCCCAGCTGTCGGACTATGATGTGACTGGAGGAAAGTAGTCACAGGTTTCGGAGACGTGACATAGCGTGGCATCGAGGTAAATCAGTACAGTACTGCATCCTCGAGCAAAACCTGACCAACAACATAAACCAAGGCAGAGAGCGGGCAAAATTCACTTCGATATTCGTTCTTGCAGCGCGAATTCATCGGCTGACTGCACCTTGCGCTCTCCCACCACCCCGGCAGCAGGACGTGATCTCGCTGGCGGCCCTGACCGCCACTGACCTGCTCTCGTCGGTAGGTGAGCATGACAACGGTGAACTGCTCGTGCGGCGAGTTGCCTCCGAGCGCCTCGCTGAACTCCTTGCCGCTGCCACCCTCGCCGGACGCCACCGGCCGGAAGCCGAGCCGCGGGCCTGTCGGCGCGCCGCCGCCCACCCTGTTAGCACCTCTCCTAGCGCCGGCCACCGATGTGGCGTGGTGTGGCTCCGTTCACGTCTCGTCCGCGCACGCACGCGCTCAGGGCGAAGTGGGCCGGTGAAGTCGTTTAAATGGTGTAGCGGCTCCCAAATACTGGCGCCTGACTGTGGCCAAACATTTGTGGCTCACATCTGACCTGTTCATGGCCGGTAGCTAAAAATAAAACTTCCCGCATGCAAGCTTGTTCCGGTGGTCCCCGACGAAAAGCGAAGTAAACAACGAAGCCGAAACCAGGACTGAACGTTGAGAGCATCCACAACATTTACATCCCAACGGCCCTCAGCGCAGCAATGAGAGCACACCACCACCCAACCTGACGTCACATGGTCCAAAACAGCTCCCCGATGTCACCAGTGCCAGCACTCGTCGGCTTCCTTGGCCCCACCGACGGGCCGCGCGCCGCCGCTGCCGGGCTCACCTACAAATTTGGCCTCGGCCGGCAGCACGTCACCGTACGGCACGGCCGGGTACAGTCGGTGCGGCGCCAGGAACAGGTTCCAGCGCGCGTACGTGTCCAGCCGCGGTGTGGTGAAGTTGCGCTGGAAGCGGTCCGAGGCCAGCGGCGACTCGATCGGCCCCAGGTACTCGTCCAGGTCCAGGCTGCTGAGCTGAACGTCCACGGTCAACCGCTGAAACGGGCCGGGAGGCGGGCCGGGTCACGGGACGCCGGCTCGGGGAAGGTCGGCCAGCGCGGTGGTGAGATGAAGCGACGGCGGGGACGGAATCATATGGACAGCCACGCCGCATCAGGGGGCGCACGGACGGGCAGCCGCACACCGGCGGCTGCGACGACGCGCTGCTCAAATCCACGTC